AAATTGGTTCATCCTTGCACGCAGATATCCACAAAATTGTCCACTCTGAGTGATTAGAACAAATATGTCCACAAAATATGCTCCATCTGTCAAGCAGGTACGGCTTGGTCTCCCCACATCATGGTGAAGTTCGGATCTGGGTATGTTGGTCTGTCGTGATGTCTGGAATATATAGCTAATAAAAGGAGAAAGGATGGTTTACGTTTTAGGTATCGTACTATATCGTTATAATGAATCAGCCCATTTGTTTCAGGTTAGAAGAGCGAGTTATTGTTTCAGGAGACCATCAGGAAGCTACATATATTATCAAGTGAATTAAATGATACATCGGTGTGATCTATCTAGTTAGGATGATCCAAAATAAATCTTTATCAAAAAATAATAGACAATTTTGTTATTCCCAGTGGGTAATGATACTATTGTTCAATTAACCCAATTCATAATACATGACCTTCCTGTTTCTTGCTGACTTGAAGGTATTTCCTCCAAAAAATGAGTAGGCAAAGTTCAATGAAGTTCAATGATTAAATCAATAATGACTTAAAGTAAATGCATTCGATCGAGTCTGGCACCACGGACTCCTCGCCAAGCTTCTTATGGCTTGCCACCCCAGCTATGTTCTCTGCTAGCTAGTTTTCTCTCAAACAGGTCTCTCCATGTAGTGGTCGACGGAGTTTCATCTGACTCTCTTATCATAAATGCTGGTGTTCCGCAAGGATCAATTCTAGCACCAACACTATTTCTACGCCATATCAACGATTTGTTGGGACCAACTTCATGTCCAGTACACAGCTTCGCGGATGATAGTACCCCCCATACCGCCTTCGCTTCCAGGGCTCCAATACGGACTTGGCAACAATTCTCGAATGGGGATCCAATAACTTGTTAGATTTCAATGCAAACAAAACCCAAGCATGCCTTTTCTCTAGAAAAGTCATTCTCACTGTGCCCTACATAAGCTTGTCAGGAGTAACCATACCTTTGACGACATCCATTACGATGCTTGGTATTACTATCAGCAATAACCTTTCTTGGGAAAATCACGTGAGATCAATTGCTGAAAGTGCATCCCAAAAACTTGGTTTTCTGTTTCGGGTCAGGAGCTATTTTACTTCCAGTCAGCTACTTATGATCTATAAGGCACAAATCCGACCTATCCTGGAATACTGTTCCCATATTTGGAGTGCAGCACCCAAACATACCCTGAAACTGTTGGATTCTGTCCAAAAAAGGGCAATTCGTCTCGTGGTTGATGCATCGCTCACAAACTCACTCACTTCTCTGGAACACCGTACAAAAGTTGGCGATCGAGCTCTATTTTAGAGATATTTTCATGGACGACGTTTTTCTGAAATATCAACAATTGTTCCTTCCTTGGCATTCCCCACGAGATTAACCCGTCAAGTTGAGGCTTCGAAGGTATCGTGGTCACTTTGGAGACCTGCAGAACATCTCTTTCCAAAGACTCGTTCATCCAACGAACAGCGAGGCTCTGGAACACATTGCCAAGGGAGGTGTTTCCCGAGGCATATAATCTCCAGAAATTCAAGAAGAACACCAATTCCTACCTTATTTCCCTTGGTTCTGACGATGTTCTTCAAACATTATAGGATAGGATTTCCATTTTCGTGGAACCAGAACGTAAAAAAAACTCTCCCCTATGTCATCCTGTTTTTCGACTTCGAAAATATCGGATGTTTTGCATAACTTACTACCCCCATATGATGATTCCATAGTCCAGAATGACACGGAACATTTCATCGAACCTTTAATATATACATTAGGAATATCCTTGACGATGAAGAATCCGTAGCGAGGGATGATTGGAGTGTATACACATATACAGTGCACCCCCATTTGTACGGTTGTTATCTCAAGACTACAGTGGCAAAATAACCGTGATGGCCGTAGAGGGGTTTGAGTGCAAACACAGATAAGGGCTGGAATCGAGACCCCTTCAATCGGACACCAAATACTAGACAAGTCTATTAGCGGGACATTCTCGGCTGATCAGGTTCGGCCTTCCGATTTTCATGCTCATACACGCGTCCATTCAAATGTTACAAGATTCCAAATATATGCAAATATACTGACAGATTCAGAAATTTCTGATTGTTTGAATTGTTTCACATTTTCAGTACATAGATCAGAGTCGATTTTTGAATCCGAAAAATTTTTTAGATAGACTGAAACCCATCGAAACAGGAAGGAAATATATCAAATATAACAAATGATGAATTGATGATGATTTACAATATTTTTTCCATATTGCCCATCTTCCAAGGATATATGTTGCTCCTCCCCCAAGGTATGTTAGTCAATATGACTACCGCTTCTTGTTTTCTATCATCTCAACCAATTTTTCAATGGAAAAATCAAAGTGAAGAATTGGTTGGTTCGAAAATTTTATTTTTTGTGTACAAGGTGAGTCAAAAATGTGTACCGAGCTTTCTGAAGGTAATAGTACATTGAAAAATATGTATAGTTTGATGAATAAACATGTCAACACACTGAATGGACTACTCATAATTTGACTCTATTTCGAAGACCTGTATTTTTTGAAAAATTTGACCGATCTTCATGCGGTTTTCGATATCAGATGTGATATTTCATCGGCTCCAAAGAGAGCTAGAACACTCTGAAAAAGTCCATAGAACAAAACTTACACAGGGTGTAGAGTGGAACCATTACACTATGGTCTACATTTCCAATGCTGCCAGAGCTCGAGAAATTGTTTTCTGATCAAAAGTCAAAGTGATATTATGATACACTGTGACCCCATCTCGGGACAATTTCGTGATTTCTCCTTAATTGGCCATTGGAACAAAAATTCGATTTTTTTTTTCCAAAGTTTTGCATTTCTTGAATTTTTTCTCTAGAACTCCACTTGAGCAGACCATTGGGAAGAACTGTTCTCATGTTACGCTGTATGCGGACGATACTGAATTCTTTTGAACTTAGTACAGTGAAGAATACAAGAATAACTTTAATCATGCGTCTAAGAGGAATAATTCGAAAGAACTAATCAGGCAATATTATTACATGAACGGACGAATGTTTATTTTGAATTGAGTGCAGCATCATTAGCATAAACAAATGAATAGAATAAGTAGGTACGTTATCTTTGTAAAACGAATTCACTAGGACCGACTTGGGATACAAAAATGACGTTGATGAGATTTTGCAGAGAATTTATAAGTTCAATAAAGAGGGAGTGACTTTAATCTTATTGACTCGAAAGATCAAAAAATCATTATTCAGCCCAAATAAGTAAAGAAAAGAGCATATGTCATTGTCAATTTTGTTAATATTCATAAAGTGAATTATCATCATAACATTAGAGAGTTACATCGAAATCATCTCACTTGTGCAAATTGAAGTCAAGAAAATATAATGAGAATCATAAACCACATTGAATTATTGCTTGAAAAAGGGTTGATGGAAAACTATAGTAAGTGACAGTTTTGTTAACATTAAGAGTATGAGTTGGAGCTTAAAATTATTTATCGTCATAACAATTCAAAACTACAAATCTTTTTAGTTTCGCAAATTAATCCTAACATCTGTAATTTATCGCTCAAAAATCTACGAAAAATCTTGCCTAATAAAAACACAACATGGAGCTTGTCTTATATTTGATTGATTCTCCCAAAATTTATTGCTAAAATTCTGTATAAAAGCAGGAACAATCCGAATAAAAGAAGACAGTCTGAAGTTATTCTTGAAGGAGACTTGATCAGTCTCCAATACGATATGTCTCGATCTCCGTTCTGTTAGTTGAACGTATTGTTATAGTGAGCCTCGGGAATAATTATTGATGTACAATCATTGAATCTATTGACCAGAATGTAAAATATCAAGTCTTAAACGTGACTCAATACAAAACGTATCCAGCAGACTTTGTATCTGTCTATCAAACATGCTACGTTCGAACAGTACCAGTGAACTTCGTTAATAATACCTGTGTAAGTAACCACTCAGGTAAATTAATTGTAAACTGCAAATTTTGTGACTGAGACGTGAAAGTGAAGTGCATCTCTCGCAAATTAAAAACAAGTGAACAGTGGAACAACAATGTTCAATTTAAAATGTAAGCAAACATTGAGTTTGTTGCCTGTAACCTCTGCCTGACAATCTCAGTCTGCCTCCTGCCTCAATAATCACGGACCCATTGATCGAAAAAAATTACTTTGTGACGACCCCCTGTAGTAGGCCAACGAACGAAGAAAGTTGGGGGCATTACAATACATCCATACTTATTTTGAAAAAATCTATAATGAGGTTCTTTCTGGATTGTATGATTGATTCTGATGCATGAATTCACTGCATCTGAATGTAAAAAAAAACACATACATTTTCAAGAAAAGACAAAAACAAGTTCCAAACATTCATATACAATATAAGCACTTGCAATGTTTTGCTAGCGGCTTCACTGAAGCACTTCCCTCACCGTCATGTGCTTGACTCTTTGTGTCCATTATCATCTGATAACAATTAATAGAAATACTTTGGATGAAAGAAACCAATTTTTCAGTTAAATCGCTCAGAAAGGTTTTCCAGTTCCATGATGTCAGCGCATAGTGCAGTGTCCCTCATCTTCTTGAAAGGCACCGCCCTAAGTCCATCATAATAAGGGTATTTTCTACATTGATGATCAATATGAGAAGATCGGGAGGATTTCGAACGGCACCATGCTGTCTACAAAGTTTGCTTCCTGGGATTTGTTACTTGTTTTTCATTGAAGTGTGCTAGGTATTCTTCTTTTTGAAGAATCATACCGAATTACTATGTATACCCACTTATAATATACCCAGTATATACCCGTGTATATACAAATTATTACCTAGAACTCCAAATAATACAAGAGGATGCAAGGGATATCACGAGTATTCATGTCTTACTTCGCATATAAACAAAAATGACATTTCCCATGTATTTTATCACCAAGTGTGTTCCCGATTTCATTTATATCGGTTAATATTACATTGTAGAAAACTTACCCAGCTGTGAGGCTGTTTGGCCACATCTACTTTCACACCTGAAAAATTGAAAGAAAAACGTTAATCAAGGAATTCAATTTTTCACCATTACAGTATGAGAGAATATATTCTCCAATTTCTCAATAATCAAAATGTCACATTCAAACCCATCAATACGTATGATATTGCGCAGGTTGGTTAAGCTTATATAGGTCATATTGACACGTCACGTGGGAGGAAGCATTTTGTCATATTTCTACTACTGCTATGAAAAGTAGCGTATTTCTCATAGCTTACTTAGCTTCAAAACCATTGACCATACTGTGAGAAATATTTTTTTTCACGGCACTTTGCCAACACCACATACATTTCCATGGAGAATCAACAAAAATCGATCAAAACTTGGCTGCTGTTCAGCTTTGAATAGTTGTCACAACTGTCAGAAGAAGTTTCTCATTAGTGCTATTGATAAAAATCGCATTTTACTTCAAATATTGTTCCAACAATTCATATTAAATAATATGATGTGTATAACGAGATGTGACGATTTTGATAACCTACACCGTCAGAGACAGAGATAATGGAAAAAGCTGCGAAAGTTTGGTTTGTTTCCGGAAATTTCAAGAAAAAAGTATGAATTGGCATATTGGTACGAAAAATTCATGGTGTCTAAAGAAATACAGAAATAAAATATTTTTCAGAAAGTGTACTGTTTTGAAATACTTTGAGGAACTAGGATAGGCGTTTACTCTTTGGTCACAATATTCAATGTGGCATAGTGCCACATTATAAAATGAATACCAATAAGTTACATTACTCGGATTCTTTGAATAAGTGCAGTTTTAGAAAAAGTATAGTGTGCAACATGTGGGGAAAATCACTTTTCCCCCTTGTTGCACAATATACTATTTTTCCGACAGAAAAAACTCATTCTAACAAGTTACTATAATTATATGAAGTGATGCTGTAAAAGCCCAGGATGAGTACATATATACAGATTTATCAACAATCTGTTAAAACTTGATGAAATCATGATCTTGTGAAACCTTCTTGGTTGGCGATGGACACAGTGGACAGATGAGAGCATATATCTTGGTTTAAATATTATGTTTAAGAACATTATATACATTACAAGAAAAGCCAAGCCTCTTACATATAGGTACTCCACAGCCTACTAAAACGGATAGAATGGCCACGTTTATACCGTATGGATAGTTGGTATGCTTACCAAGGAGATCTAACTAAATTCAGACCAAATGACTTTGTTAACGCATGTTCACAACATGTATCTCCAGTTGACTAACGTTACCAACATTGTTTTGATTTGATTATTTTTTTGAGGTTATGTTGTAGAACTTTACTTGAATTCGTAAATTAAGAATGAAACCCTTTGGCAGGATACGAAATTAGCTGAAATTGAATGGAATATTATTATGAGAACTCATGAAATAACTGCCACTTGCACTCAAGTCTATTCAAGGCTATACAAAAGTATAGACCAAAATGTTTAAACCGTATTGGTCATTATACTATTTTAGTCTGGTACGCAACTAATTTCGGTACCAAACCAAGCTGGTAACTTTACCAAGTATACAGTTTATACCAAACTGACCAAGAGTATTTAGTCAAAATATAATAGTCATCAGTCAGCTTACGAAGACACGGTATAAACGTGGCCATTATCTAATTAATGATCATCCACAAATTTCGACACATACGGTAGACACCTACCAAAATATATCCGAATAATAACCCAACGGGAAACCGAATGAATGAAAAAACCAAAAAGTTGTCGAAAGTAACATTTAATAAAAAGTGCTTTTGCCTTATCGAGCAATAACTTGAGCCTCCTTGATATTTACACTAAAACTTCATCACGCTCACTTGATTTCACAAAAGCATTTTTGCCATCTGCAAAAGTTCCAGGATGAATGGGAAATATGGACGCAACGATAAAAGACTAAAAGCGAGGGAGGCAGTCGGTGTATTTGTATTTTCCGCAATATCGATGAGATTTCGGATGGGATATTGGTTTTGAAGTTTACATCCTCTCTAATGAGCCTTATATTGGGAAGCCATTCGACTGTGAATAACTTTGCTCTTGATTCTCGTGAATTGAGGGCTCTCGTTGCTTTCAAATTCGCTGCCTGATGTTAAAAAGCTCTCTATGTAGGTACGACTTATTCAATTTTGATTCTATAATGGATACCTACACAGGTAGGTTCACTATATACCTTTATAAAGGGTATGTCACAACGAGCTTACACTAACTTTATTTCGAGAATCAGTCGAGAATCAGTCAGTTTATTTGAAATATTATCGCCTTTTCAGAAGAAAATGACACGCTGAATCGAATGAGACTATGATCAGCTCGATAGGACAGATAGTTCTCGAGATATTGGCGCTCAAAGTCAGCTTTCTGCTTTCATTGCCAATAGGTGCACTCCGGTAGGCTACTAAGTTTAAATTTTCCAGAATTTCCTTATTTTCACCATAGATTCGTTCATTTCGACATAGAATTAGTCTATTTGAATTTTTTCAGATTTTTAATTGGCCAAATTAAAATTTTCATTTTCCTACCTGAGACTTCAGTACGATATAGTCACCGAGCTATCTTCGGACGGCCGAAATTGCCAGAAAACGGCAGGAATTCACGGAAATCATCGCTTTTTCAGTAGAAAATGGCACGCTGAATCGAATGAGACTATGATCAGCTCGATAGGACAGATAGTTCTCGAGATATCGGCGCTCAAAGTCAGCTTTCCGCTTTCATTGCCAATAGGTGCACTCCGGTAGGCTACTAAGTTTCAATTTTCCAGAATTTCCTAATTTTCACCATAGATTCGTTCATTTCGACATCGAATTAGTCTATTTGAATTTTTTCAGATTTTTAATTGGCCAAATTAAAATTTTCATTTTCCTACCTGAGACTTCAGTACGATATAGTCACCGAGCTATCTTCGGACGGCCGAAAGTGCCAGAAAACGGCAGAAATTCACGCAAATCATCGCTTTTTCAGTAGAAAATGACACGCTGAATCGAATGAGACTATGATCAGCTCGATAAGACAGATAGTTCTCGTGATATCGGCGCTCAAAGTCAGCTTTCCGCTATCATTGCCAATAGGTGCACTCCGGTAGGCTACTAAGTTTAAATTTCCCAAAATTTCCTAATTTCCACCACAGATTCGTTCATTTTGACATCGAATTAGTCTACATGAAATATTTTCGACAATGCAGTGTTGTCGCTTCTACTAGAAAGTAGTAGCAACATTGATATTTCAAACGGAACACCCTGTATTTCATCGCATTTTCAGATTTTCTCTGAAAAGCTGATTTCATCGATGTATCACACTTGATGTCTATCGAAAATTATTACAGAGATATAGGGTGTTCAAGATCGATATGTTTCTACTTTGTTTCGAAACTATTCATTATCTGTCAGAACGGCTCACATGAATGTATACGTTTTGTGCTTGAAAAAATCAGTTATTGACTTTATATCAAGCTCAGGTGGATTCCAGGCTGAGATATGGTGTATGTCTTTGGGGCCACTCCACAATGGCAAAAAATGTGTTTATTACCCAAAAACGTATCATTCGCTGTATAGGTGGGGTGTCAAGCAGGCAATCATGATGCAAGAATCTGATGTTTGTTCAGTAATCTACCATTGCTATGCATTACTATTTTGGAAACATGTATACAGGGTGGACCATTTTAATCTATTATGGATAATAGTTCTTCCCGGAAGCCGCTAACAAAAAAATCGTTCCAACAAAAGTTGAAGGATTCAATAGGGGCCAAAGAATGACCCTACTCACAACCTTCCCCCCCCCCCAGGGCCCCCATACGGCCCTGGGAGATGTTATGTTTTTTTTCAATGGGAACACTATTTTTTCACAACGGATTCTTGTTCTTCAGAGAAAAACAAATAAAAAATGTCTCTAGCTTTTTTTTTGGGCCCCTTAAAGGGCCCCAAATTTTTAATTTTGGTATTTGAGTTGAAGAAAACAAAGTCTTCATTGGCATGTGATTCGTTAACCAGATTAAGGGTTTGCTTAAAATATGGTAATATGCTGGAACTATGCACTTATGTTATCATATTTAAAACATAGGTTGGACCTGAGCCTAAAAGTTATTGCAACTCAAATACCAAAATTGAAAATTTGGGGCTCTTTGAGGGGCCCAAAAAAGAATTTGCTTTTCTCTGTAGAACAAGAATCAGTTGTGAAAAAATAGGGTTCCCGTTGAAAAAATAATTTCATCTCCCAGGGCCGTATGGGGGCCCTGGGGGGGGGGGGTTGTGAGTAGGGTCATTCTTCGGCCCCCGTTGAATCCTTCAACTTTTGTTGGAACCATTTTTTTGTTAGCGGCTTCCGGAAAGAACTATTATCCATAATAGATTAAAATGGTCCACCCTGTATATGTATTTCAGAACAAACGTAATTTTGTAGTTAATAAGAATATTCATCATATCAATACTAGAAGTAAAAACTTATTTCATATACCATATGCCAAACTTAAAATCACTTCTGTTGGTCCAAACCATATAGGACCAAAAATGTTCAACCATCTACCTGATGTTTTGAAAAATATTTTATCCATTTCCTTGTTCAAACAAAAACTAAGATATTTTTTACATGAGAATTGCCTTTATATTGTAGGAGAATTTTTCTCATGAGTCTTTTGACTTTTACATTGACTATTCATTCCTATATAATACTTGTATTATTCAAAGGAAAATAAACAATTATTATTATTATCATTATTAAGGCAGGTCTATAGGCTTTTGATGGAGATTTTACTAAAATCAAAGTCTAGGGAACCAACAACCTCAAAACTCAAGCCTGTATTATCTCTAGAGAGTAGAGACGCGGAACTCAGTATGCCTGATATATAACAATGTCTGGTACCACCATCCCCACCAAGTCCATCATATCTTTGCTCGGTATTTTCATCAGCAAGACTCTTTCATATCGTATAATAATGTCAGGTCCATCGCGAAAGCTGCTTCTCAAGAAGCTACTTAACACCTCAACAGCTTCTCATGATCAACAAAA